GGTTGGGCCCCTCGCCAGGGTATTTTTTTCGGCTCCCGCAGAAGACAATATCGGAACCCTTCGGGGTTACCGCGTGGATGCACCAAGGAAGCCAATGCATGTCCGAACGAATCATATGTATTGACAGCGGAATCCTATGGAGTTCCTATGGGATCCGATGGATGTCCGAAGGACTCCTACGGTTTTCTGCAGGAATCCGATTGGTGTCCAAAGGAGCCCTACGGATTTCCAAAGGAACCCAGTAGATGTCCTAAGGACCCCAGTCGGTTTCCAGATAGGAACCCCATGGATTTCCTGACGGATCCCGTTGCGTTCGCACGGTATCCAATTGATTTCGTAAGGCCTATGGATTTCCGAAGGGATCCACTGGATCCCTTAAGGGATCATATGGATGCCCAAAGGATTCCCATAGATGTCACAAGGAATCCAGTGGATTTCCTAAGGGACCCTATTGATTTCCAGGGAAATCATTTGGATTTCCGAAAGAAGCATTTTGACTTTCGATTCCCTAAGAAATCCTATGGATGTCGCGCGGATCCCTATAGATCTCCAAAGGGTCCCTATCGATTTCCGAAGGACTCCATTAGCTGTCCTATGGCATCCTAGTAGTGTCCGAACAAATCCCATTGCTTTCATAGGCAATTCCATGGATTTCCCAGAAGAATTCCAATGGCTTTCCAGCGGGATCCTACGGCTTTGATCAGGGATCCCAGGGATGTCCGGCATTTTCTTACAGATGTCCAAAAGAATCCAATTCAATTCTTAAGGCATCCCGTGGATGCCCCAATGGTTTCCCTAATGATCCTAACAACTATCTTAACGACTTTGATTGCATGCCTAAGAAGTTCTATGGATTTCCTTCGGAATCCAATGGGCTTCCTCGGAAGTCTTGGGGTTTTGCAAGCACGTCTATGGATGTCTTCAGGAATCCAATGGATTTCCTAAGCGATCCGATTGATTTCCAAAAGAGTTCTTGACTTCCCAAGGGATCCTCTTCCTCCCCCGCCTTACGCGCCCATCTCGAGCTTTTTTACTCCCGCTTCTTGCGCCGCCGCAAATGAGCCGCCATGTATTCCTCCTTGCGCATGCGTTATGGAAAATGGCCAAAACGAGGTAATTAAGTCTGGCAAAGAAGAAACCAACGGCCCCGAATCGATTTGTTTGGGGCAACTGGACCTGGGTTCCTCCTCATCCTCCTCCCCCTCCTCATCATCCTGTTGCTATGGGTTCCCGTTTGAATTTTTCAGATTGCCAGAGGAATCCGATGGATGCCCGAAGGAAGCCGATGGATTTCCAAAGGGACCCGCTGGTTTTCTTAAGGAAGCGTATGGCTGTCCTCGGGAATCCGATGGTTGTCTCAAGGATCCCGATTGATTTTCTTACAGGATCTTATGGGTTTCCGTAGGATTTCCATAGGATCCCTATGGGTATCATCCAGAATCTACAGATGTCCTAAAGAACCCTATGCATGTCGTAGGGATTCCGATGGACTTCCATAGGAATCCGAAAGTTTCCCGAGGGAGTCATATATTCTGAATGGAATCATTGTGAATCCCATGGATGTCCTAAAGAATCGTATGGCTTTCCTAGGGCATCCTGTGTGTGTTGTCTGGAGGAATCCTATGGATGTCGCAAGGAATCTTATGGGTTTCTCAAGGAATCCCATGGGTGTCCGAAGAAATATTCTGTATATCCTGCTAGGAATTTCATGGACTTCCATTGTAATCCGCTGGATGTCCTAAGGGTTCCAACGGATTCCCTAGGGAATCCTAAGAATTTCCGAAGGAATCCTCGAGCCCCACAGGTCGCGGCCGAGCGGGGCTACAAGCTCCGCGCGCCGACCAAGATATATTGGCGCATGTGCAGGTCTAGGCCTCCAAGCTGGGATCCGAGTAGGTGTGGTGGGGGGATCGCGCCGCATTGCCGACGCATCGTCGACGCGGCTCGACGTGGAGCCCGTCTCTCTCCACGCTGACGTCGCCGACGTCGCCGACGCATGGTCGATGCGCGGCCGCTGCGTCGGCGATGATGCTCGATCTTCCGACCAGGTCTTATTGCGACCCCATATCGGGGGCCTCTAGCAGGGCACCTCGGCGCGCCAAGCTCGCCGCGCAGTGCGCGATCATGAACTGCGAGCACACAAAGAAGGGCGACGCCCTCGACCTGGGGCGCTGTGAGCGCGCTGCTCGGCGAGATCGTGGAGCGCGCGGGTTCCCCCGATAACGTCCTCGTGATCGAGCCGGGCCCGCGGCGGCCGTCGCCCGGGCCCGAGAGGGCCAGGCGGCCAGGACGAGGGCGAGCCCGCCGCCAGGAGCGCTGGACCGAGAGAGTCGAGAAGGCCGAGCACCTGCTGATCGCCGTGCACTCCGATGCCCCCACGTAAGGCGTCCAAGCAGGGAGCGGGCGCGGCCGTCGAACACCGCGACGCCCTCAAGCAGCCGCGCGAGAACGCCGAGCAGACCGCCAGGAGGATCCTCCGAAAGCTCGGCCCAATCGGCCCTGCCGAGGGATGCCCTGCGAGCAGCGGCGAGATGTTCCCGGCGGATGGCTGGCTTGCGGCCTCTGGGCGACGAGGCGGGTCGAGCCTTGCGCGAGATCGCGGGCGAGGGCCGCCGGCCGCCCATCGGCGTCGCCCACGCGTGCGTTCGAGGCAACGAGTGGGCCCAGAAGCTGCAGGGCGCGGGCGACGACCGCTCCGCCACTGCCGAGGCCAACGCAAGGCCAGGAGCAAGGGCAGGGCCGAGCCGCTGAGTGACCCGACAGCGCCCGATCCCAGGTGCGGCGGCCTCGAGCAGGCGCAGGCTGCGACGCTCGCGTGCGCGAAGTGCCTCCCGTGTAAGGGCGGTGCCGAAGGCTGTCGAGCCCGCGTGGGCGAGTGGTTCGAGGTTGTGCACAGGAGAGATTGTGCCGTTGGTGTCCGAAGGGGTCCTATGTTTCTCCTTGGGGGCCTAATGGGTTCCCAGAGGAATCCAATTCATGTCCGCAGGCTTCCCACGGAACTCCTAAGGGGGAATATCACGGGTTGCCTTGGGGTTCCGAATGCAACAAACGTCCTAAGGATTCCTATGGATGTCCGAAGGACTCCAATGGATTCCCAAAGGACTGCTATCGATGTCCTCGGGGACGCTATTGATGTTCACAAGGATCTTACGGGTTTCCACAGGAACCCCGATGGATTTCCGAAGGAATCCTACGGATTTTCGGACAAGTCCCATGCATTGCCGACGGAATTCTGTGAACTGCCAAACGAATCCCATGGATGTCCTAAAGCACCTTATATATAGGTTCCGATCGGAATCCGATGAATTCCATCAGCAACCCGCTGGGTTCCCGAATCGGATTTCATTCATGTCCCACGGGGTCCAATCGATTTTCTTAGGATTTCCGTCGGACATGTTAAGGCGTCCTACGGATTCCCATAGGATTATCATGGATGTCCTGAGGAACCCGATGGATTGCCCCGAAAGTCTTATGGAGGTCCTAAGGAGTCTGAGTCGTAGGGTCAGGCATCCAATGGATTTCCATGGGGCTCCTATGGACTTTTCGAGGACATCCATGGACTTCCCAGGCATCCAATACATGTCCTCCGGACTTGTATGGATATCCTAGGGAATCCTATGATTTGCCATGGGTCTCTTTGCATTTCTTGAAGACACCGATTTCCTAAATATTCCCATGGGTATCCGAAGGAACCCCATGGATTTCCGCATGACCTCTGTGGATTTCAAAAAATCCAATGAACGTCCGAAGCAACCCCATGCGTATCCCAAGGGCTCCCTTGGAATTTGTGTCAGACTCGTAGGGGTTCCCGAAGGATCCTATGGATTTGTCATTATTCGTATGAACGTTCAGGGCCACTTTGGTCATCATCATCGTCATCATATTCATCATTATGGTGAGATATCTACGAACATGTTTTGTATCCCGCCTGGACCCCGGACGTATTATCCCCAGGAGGTTACTATTTCGCCCTCAGGGTTAGTTTTGGGCCAGCTACTATGTGTTCAGGAACCTCGAGCTTAAGATCTATTTCGGTTCGGTCAGGATTCGAAAACCAAGGAGGATTCGATTCACAACGCTATAGAGCACACTCACGGCATGGCACATCGCAGCTCAGCACGGCACAGCACATCACAGCCTTTGTCACGGTACATCAATATCTATACACTTAGTATTGCAATTGCTCGTCGCCCAATAGGTATCCTGTAGTTGTTGCCATGCCTCACAATTCGTGGGTCGTTCATGTTCGGTCCTCTTCCTCCTCCCCTTGATTTTTCGGTCCTGGTGGCGCTACCTGCGCCTTCCCGTGGTGGCGTTACCTGCGCCGTGCGTGCCCCGTGCATCGAGCGCCTCCTGGCCTTGCGTCCCCGTGTGAGGTGGAGAGGCCGCCCGGGTCCTCCGTAGAGGCCCTGCTATTGTGGTTTCCGGGAGCGCTCGAGGGTCCACAATCGTGTGCCATTGTTTTGGGGGCGCACCCTGTGGTTTCTCGTGTCTAGGCACTCCACCCAGGAGCGGTGCTCGTGTTCTGCGCACGTCCGTGGCTGCGCGGGCCTTCGGCGCAGGCCCCTCGTGGACCTGGCCCATGTTTTGCTGGCCACATGGCGGCCGTGGTAGGCTATTGTTTGAGGCCTCGCAGATGGGGTCCGAGTAGATGGGGCTGGAGGATGGCGCCGCATCGCCGATGTATCGCCGATGTATCCCCGATGCATCGGCGACGCCGGCGATGCATCGGCACCGTCGGCGTGGAGAACATCGGGCTCCGCATCGACCTGCATCGCCGATGTATCGACGATGCGGCGCGATCCTCCGACCCCGTCTACTTCGACCCCATCTAGGAGGCCTGGAACATGGCGGCTGTGGTAGGCTATTGCTGGCTCTCGTGAGCCTCGGTGCAGGAAGGGGTCCACGCCGCGCCGCACCCGCGGGCAGGGGCGCGGCCAGGGGGGGCGCCGCGCTGCTCTCCGGCCGCGCCGCGCGCGCTCCCGCGCGGCAGCCGCCAGGGCTGGAGGCAGAAGGCCACGCAGACTTGCATGACCGTGATCAAGAAACATCAGGCCGCGCCGCCTTCGTCGTCGTCTTTGTCTTTGTCGTCGTCGTCGTCGTCGTTGCCGCTGTCATCGTCGTCGTCGTCGTCGGCGGTTCGAAGGTCGAGGGTCGAGGGTTCGAGGGTTCGAGGACTCTGGGCGTCTTTTGGCCTTTCTTTGCTGCTGCTCATGCTCCTGCTCCTCCTCCTCCCTTCTCCCTCCCCTCTCCTCCCTCCTCCCTCCTCTCCCCTCCCTCCTCCCCCTGCTCTTCCCTCCCTCCTGCCCCTTCTCTCCTCCCTTCTCTCCCTCTCCCCTCCTCCCTCCTTCTCCTCCCGTTCTCCCCTCCTCCCCTCCACCTTCCTCCTTGCCCCTCCTTTGCCTTCCCTTTGCTTCACTTTCCTTTCCCCTCCTCCTCCTTCTCCTCCTTCTCCACCTCCTCCGCCTCCTCCTCCTCCTCCTCCATTCCTTTTTCCTTATAAAAATCACTCTTCCCTGTCGCACGGTTAGTCTGGTCGAAAGGGCGGCCGGGCGTTTCGCCTAACACCTCCTCACCGTTTTTGACCCTGAAGCTAACAAGCTGGCAACAGTTTCAAAGATGGAGGAGTGGTGGGTTTTCAAAATGAGGTTCAACCTCCTGAGCGCCGCGCCCATTCGTTCACAGAAATGCAAGAGCTTCACGGATTGAGGGGGGTGGTTTTCAACATTTGGTTCTCTTTCTAGCGTTGCGCGCATTCGTTGCAACAAATTGCAAGCGTTCCAAGGATTCAGGGCGGGTGGTTTTCAAAATCTGTTTCTCGCCTTAGCGCCGCGCACATTCGTTTTAAGCACTTGCAGGAGTTTCATGATGGAGGACGGCTGGTTTTCAAACTGTGGCTCTCCCCGTCGTGCTTTGCACACTCGTCTAAACATGTGCAACAACTTCATGGGTAGAGGGCCAGTTGTGTTGGAAATGTGGCTCAGCGCCGCGCACAGGTGTAAGAGTTTTACGGACTCCCATGGTCAACGTGCCGAACATGGAAGGACTCAGGCTTGTTCTGGCGTTGCAGTTATGTTGCTTCGCGGTGTTGAAGTCCCAGGAATGGTGTTCTCGCAGGACTCAGGACCGTCACGCCGCAACAGTCAGGTTGATTCGTGGCGTTGGAGCCCCGATAATGATATTTTGGCACGCTTCAGGGTCTTCAGATGGTTCTCTCCCATAGAGGCAGTTCCCTCAGTGGAAATGACCCCTTGTAGGGGCCTGTGAAGAGGGAGTTTGGAGGGAGGGTTTATTCCAACATCTTTGATAAGTCTTGGGTTTCCACTGGTCCTCCTCATCCCCTCGCCTTCCCCCTCCCCTGTTTCCGCCGAGCTCTCCCCGCCCCCCCGTCCCCCGCCGCGGCACCTCCGCCCCCTCCCTCCCCCCAGGTGGCCGGCGGCGGCATGCCCGCGGGGTTGATGGAGGCGAACCCCGAGATGGAAAAGCTCCAGGACACCCTCCCCCTGCTCGCGCGTGCCGCGGGCCCACCGCGGGCGTCACGCGGCCGCGCTGTCTGTCGGGCTGGACGAAGGCGGAGGGGGGCCTCCTACTCCTGCTCCTCCTCCCCCTCCTACTGCCTACTTGCGCCTCCGACCGGCCCTGGGCGCAGCTGCTGTTGCCGCCCTGGCCGCCGCAGGTCATGTCACGAGCATGGCCAGCGACACGGGCCTGACTCAGAACACCAAGCGCCTTGACAACGGCGACACCAGCGACGACAGCACCGAGGTCGACGAGGTCGGGACTGCAGCATCGGCGGGGCTCCCAGCAGCAATCCCAAGCGCGCCGGCCAGGGCTGCGGCGGCAGCGGCACCCCAGGCAACCCTTCCACCTGCTGTGGAGCTCGTCCGCGCTGCCCGCGCCACCAGCTGCCCGCGCCACCAGGGGTGGCCCAAGACCCGTGATGGCCACCAGCTGTAACGCCTCGTGGGGCTCGCTCTGGGAGCTTCTGGAACATCTGGCGTACCGACGTGCGGCCAGTTGTCCTTGGCGCTGGCTGGGCTTCGCGCCGCTGGAGGGACCTGAGCCCGCGCTGCATGGACTTGCGGCCCGCCTGCGCATGGCCAAGTTGCTGCGCTCGTCAGCGCAGCCGCCGGCGTGGACGCCACCGGAACGTGACCAGGCTGCCGAGGCGCTTCGCGCGCTGGAGCTGGCGCACAGCAGTGCAGTGACATCCTGCCCGAGATCTCGCGGGAACGTCGTCGTCTCCATCATTCGGTGCTCCTGCTATGGCAGGAGCTAAGCGCATCCGCCATGCAACTGCTGGGTAACACGGCGCCCACCTCCACGGATATCGCCCCCATTCAGTGTTCGGACATCGCATACAACATGCACCGCGACCAGACGCTCCATGGCGGGGCGGTGGCGCTGGAGACTTGCCGACCCCTCGCGGCTCTGACCAACAAGGGGGCGCGCGTCCGTGGACACAATTGAGTGGCCGCCTGGCTGTCCTTTGGGCGCCTTCGGCCTCTTCCGGTCTCGGGCGACTGTTCGCAGAATGCATGGAGCTCTCCCCTGACCAAGGGGGCCCACCATACCTCCGCCTCATCGCACCCTGCGAGGTCGTCCCAGGCTGTCGGTCGGAGGAGGCCATTCAGGACCCCTGGTGGTATCCACTGCTTGGGGGGCACGTGGCACCGGCACTCAAGCGGATCGACTACGTGGCCGCCCCGATGGAGATGATCTTGCCTGGGCCGCGCGGTCCCCGCCACGTGTCCCGTGGCTTGGCTGTCTTCGCGGTGGCGGCGCAGGGGCTTCGCGCCCCCTCCAGCTTGCTGCCGCGAAGCGCCGCGCTGCAGGTGGCACCGGTTCCGACTTGGACTTGCATAGTGGAGTTCCTCGCGGACAGGCTTCCAGAGATCCTGCGCGTGCTAGCCGACCCCGGCCAGGCCGACGCCCGCGCTGGCCCGCCGCGCCGCGGCGTGCTATCGAATTCCATGGCGAAGCGCTTGCGCGTGGAGTGGGCGTTCCCGCCAACCGCCGCGCGGCTGGATCTGGGACTGCTCTGGCGGCTCCTTCGTCGCGTCTCGCTGCCGTCGGGCACCATGTTCGGCTCCGCCGCACTGTGCGCGGACAGGGGGGCGCTCGCCCGTGAGATGGCGAGCGCGGAGGCGGCGCCGCGCGCGTGGGACCTCAGCTCGCAGAGCGTGGCCATGGGCGCTGGCAAGCTCTTGCTGCGCGCAGGCGCGCCCTTCGACGTCGGCCGAAGCTGGCGGACTTGATGCGGCAGAGCGCGCAGGCGGTCATCTTGCGCATGAGGCGGCGCCATGTCTGGGGGCGCCCCTGCAGCCGCGCCGGCCCAGTCGGCGGCTGCGCGCCGTGCGAAGGGGGGCCGCGTGGGCCAGGCGGCGCCGCTGCGCCGCGCGACGGAGGTCGACGCGCTCGCGCGGCTCGCGAAGCTGCGACGCCCCGCTCGCGCGCCGGCAGCTGATGGCAGCTGATGGCGCACTTGGTGGGGCCCCTTACGGGCGCCCCCGCCGCTCCAGGATGCCGGCGCTGGCCGGCGGCGGCGGGCCCCACGGCAGCGCCCGGGCGGGCGCGTCTGCGCCCGCAGTCGGGGGCCGAGGTGCAGGCCTTCGACGTCGACTCAGTGACCGGCTGCTACTTCGAAGGCGAGCGCCGGCGGATTGCCGCGCAGCGTTGCATCGTTCACGCGCGAAGGGGGCGACAGGATGTGGCATTCGCGGTGCCGCATGCTTGGGGGCTGGCAAATGTCGCGGCATTGGCGAACAGAGCTGCCGCGTGCTCGACGCTGCGCGCGCATCGCGCAATCTCGTGCGTCGACTATCCCTCGACCCTGAGTGGCTCGCAGCATGTGGGCCGACCTCGTCGCGCTGAGGGTCGCCAATGATTCCTCGGACATGCCGGGAAACGAGCGGCGGAGGCGGGGGGGCCGACGGCCCGCTGTCGAGGGGCGCTAGCTCGGGAGCCGCGCCGCGCTGCTGGGGAAGGCAGCGCAGGAATTCAGGCGATCTCACGCCTGGGGCGCATGTCGTTTTTGATCGACCGTGTCTTTGAGATCGCGCCTGTTCCGACGGGCAGGGGCCCCGCTGGCAATGGCGATCCATGGCGAACATTTCTTCTTCATGCATTTTCTTTCCCTCCTCTTCTTCTACGCCTTCGCGGCGCAGATCGTGGCGCCGATCGCCGCAGTGGGGCTTTTGATGATGTCCCGCGCTCGCATCGCGCCAGGGCGCGTCTGCGGGCGGCGCAGGGGTCCTCGCCGCTTCTGGCGCCAGCGACCGCAGCGCCGGCGCTGCCACTCCCCGCCGCGCGCGCCGCCGCCGCGGCTGGGCTGGCAGCAGCTGCGCCGCGCGTGGGAGGCCAGTTCCGGGACTCGCTGACAGTGGCCGCATGGGCCGCTCAGGCCCCGTTCGCTCCAGTTCCTCAGCGGCTTCGGCAGAGAACGCGCTGCGCCCGGCGCTTCGCCCAGGCCCGCGACGCCGCGCTCTTTGCCGAGACGCGCGGACTCCGGCGCTCCACAAGCGCGGCGCCGGCTGCAGGCGAGCCTGGGCCGGTGGCCCCGCGGCGCGGCGGCGCGGGCAGGGGCGGGCGCGCTGCTCCAGGAGCAGTTCGCCAACCAGTTCCCCGAGCGAGAGCGGGTGGAAATCGACCCTGCCCGCGCGGCGGTGCTGCGGCTCGGCGGGCCCCAGGTGTGCTTGGACTTCTGGGTGGCTTACTTCCCCACGGGATCGAGCCATGCCCTGCGCCCTCGGGAGAGTGGCCCGGAGGCCGACGCGGCGGGGCCCATCCTTCTGCCGCGGCGGCGGGCGGCCCTCCACCGCCGGATTGCGCTTGCACTCTAGCCAACAACCGTCGCCCTCGCAGCGATCGTGGGAGATGCCAAATGGGCCACAGAAAAGGCTGACCGCATCGCCCTCAGGACCGGCTCCGCCTCTGGAGCGGCGGATTGCACTGACGAGCGACACTGGCGGCAAATCGCTTTCCGCCCATTCGGCCTGCGCGAGGAGCGCCAGCCAGCGATGGCGGCGGCGCGTCTTGGCGGCAGCGTGCGATCGCGGCTCGACCGGGTTTATTGGAATGCAGACCTCGCTGCGCAACTCGACCATGATTAATTTGCAGCGGCTCTGGGATGACAGCTGGAGCTGTCGCGCCATTGCGCCGTTGCAGACGGTCGCCGGCCGCCCCCCCAGGTTAATTCAGCGCCCCGCCCCATCTCGACAGCAGCAGTCCAGCGTGAGGACTTCGCGCGCAGGGTTATTTTGGCATGCTGCGAGTCTCTCGAGACCGCCGCGTCCACCGCGGCGCCCCCTCGCAGATTGTCTCTGCTGAAAGATGCAGGTCGCATTGGCCGGGATTCTCGGAGTTGCAGACAGGCCGCCCCGCGTAGACAACAGAGGACAGGGCTGGCTTCACCATGCAGTTTCTCAGAGCAGTCGAAGGCGGACATGTGGGGCGAATCAGTGCATGCATCGAGCGATGCCCCGAATTGGCCAAGTTCGTGGGCAGCCCGTGCTCACCAGGGCTGAGACAGGCAGGGCGTCTGCAGGCAGTGCGCAGCCACGCCGTCGAGCTTGCTCGGGGGCGCGCGGTGGAGGTGCTCAGGCGCTTCAGCGGCGATCTTCCCGCGCTGGGCGCCCGGGAGGCGGCCGTGCGACAGCGCCGCCTTTGGCGCCTCGTGTCGAGGCTCGCCCCCGGCGCTGCCAGTCGACCCCGGCGGTCATGGACTCGGCGGGCACGGTCCGCACCGACTCGGCTGCCGTGGCCCAGGCGCTCCGCGACCGCTGGGGCGGGGTCTTCAGGGCGAAGCCATTGGCTCGGCGAAGAGCGTCGCGCGCGCGGCGCGCGGGGGCTTGCGAATTCCAGCGACCGACGACCCGAGATGGCAGCTGCGCCCGAGTGACGCGCAATCTGCCCTCGAGCGAGCCCTCGCCGCGGCGCCTTGCCCAGGCGGCCTGCCCTGCGCGGTTCAGAAACGCCTCGGCCCCTTCGCAGTCGACGTCCTCTTCGCGGTTCACGAGCAGCTGTCTAGCCTCTAGCCCCGAAGCGGAGGAAGCAATCCAGCGCGATCGCCCGGGGTGCAATGACAGCCTCACGGCGTATCTTCCGAAGGCGCCCACCTTCGAGAGCGACGGCGGCGCCCCGCAGTTTCCGCCGGCCGACGCCCGACCGTTGAACCTGGTGAACGCAGACAAAAGACTCTTGGCCAGTGCGGTCTGGCACTGGCTCGAGCCCTTGCTCGCTGCAGATATTACAGCGGGGCCTCGAGGGTTTCTATGCGGGCGCTCCATGTTGGCCGGCGTAATAGCGGGCGTGGATGAAGCGATGCAGACGACGGCGCTCGCTTGCGAGGACGGGGCTGCGATTTTCTTCGATTTCGCCGCTGCCTTCCCGAGCGTGGGCCAGGACTTCCTGCCGGGCGTGCTCGCAGACTCGGGGATCCCAGCGCGCCCACTGCAATATCTGAGATCTCTATATTTCCACGATCGCTGCAGG